AATGCTTTCATGAGAAGGACTTCAAGTCAAGTTCTAATTTTTTTCTAAAGATGCTAGGACTTCTGCCACCATAGACAATAGAAAATTCTTGAGCTGAAGCATCAGTAAATCTCCTTTCACTGGAAGTTACCATTTACTATTGCTTTTATTTTGTGTATTAATTGGCATACTCTAGATTTCAAATAAATAACACAGAAGCCATGCACAAGGGCTGCAGCAATACATTTTTTTCCTTAATAGTTTGGGCTGTTCCTCAAAACTTTCACCATAGAAGCCATGGTGACACTAGCCATGCCAGCACCTGGAAGTCATAGCCATTGTTCACACATTTCTGTGTGTGCTTGCAGGTCTCTCAGTAATAATGAGACACCTTTGATCACTCTTTCTAGTATCTCAGTCTTTATGGACCTTAGAAGATTGTTGAGGATAGTATGGGATTTAGGAAAGGATATGCTGATTCACAGAACCTGGTTCCTACATTTGTGTATGCTGTTTCTTAGAGACATTTTCCCAGTAACCTATATTTGCTTTGATCCTTTTTCCTTTACCTTTCAACTCTGGCGTGACGATAAGGCAAATTTTCATTGCCTTGTCTACATTATAGGCTAGTAAGGGTGGGATTTTTTGTTTTTTGTTTGTATGTTTGTTTGTTTTCCCTCACCCATGAAGAAACTCTTTTTATATCGTGAGGTTTTTACTGTGGGTATGCATGATTGCAACATTTTTTCCCATGATTTCAGTTGAAACTTAGTTGAACTGCACAAATTTAAAGCACAAGTCACATGGAACATCACTGTTCCTACTCGCTTGGCTGTTCCTCACTGTGTAAATGGGAAAGGTGTTTTCAGATTCCAAGACAGACTTTTACTTATTGAATAATTCTTTTGTACTTGTGTTTGTTAAATTTAGAACCTGTGCATTACCTAGTGAAATAATGGTTGTCAAACAGGAACCTGGAAATGGACAAAATGTACATTTGCTTATTAAGAAAGGGACATAGCATATATATATATATATATATATGCCTCCATGTAATGTACTTGCTGCCCTGTTGTCTCAAGTAGCTGTAGGGGGTAACATGGCCCATTGTATAGTCGTGAAGTATGGAGCTAAACATGAGAAGTCTATAAAATAGTTGACCTTAATGGGATTTAGATCAAATGTGTGTTTTTCTACAGGCGTCACCTGGACTTTGAAACAGAGCAGGTGAGTACTCCCATTGGAGACTTGCATTAAAAAGAAAAAAAAAGAAGTGGATGAGGAGGTGACTTTTAGAAAATATCTTGCTGAACAGAAGGGCTTACTGTGTGTCTGATGCTGGATAGGTCATCTGTCCAGCTCCCGCTTCTTTGATTAATAAAATGGAAATCATACCAGTTACCTTTCCAGTAGCTCTCTAAACCTTGCTTAATGTTCGGTACAGTGTTCTGATGAAAGGTTTGTATTTATAAACCAAGCATGTCATGTAACACTCTTATTGCCTGTGATTTAATAAAAAGTATCTGAAGAAATTATGTTTTTAGCTCAACAGTGACTCAGAAGTGGTGGTGATGATGTTTTGCTTTGTTTTTTTGTGGTATCCGCGTTAAGTAGGACTGGTTTATTGTTTCCATGTGTTGTCTTTTTGTACCTGATACTTAAACTAAGTTGCTATGAAGTTGATCTAAAATTCCATATATACGTGTTTCTACATAAGGCTAAGAACAGCATTTATTAGTGTGGTGCTGTTGCCATGGGTGAAGCTTGTGCAGGTTGACTTTTTCATCCTGAAATCATCTCCACATCTGGGGTTACCATCCCCAGTGATAGGTCTGCCAGCAAGAGAACTCACCAAACTGAATTATTTGTGTCATGGAAGAGCCCTTCAGGAAAATCAGTTGGTGACTGTCACACCTCTTCAGAGATGGATTGCTCTGAAAAGAAATAAGAGAAGCTAATGAGTTATTAATTTGAGCTGCCAAAATCAAAACAGCCACAAATTAAGGGTCAAGTTCAGATGGGATTGTCATGGAACTGAGAATAGGGGCAGGCAAGCCCAGATGTATTCTCTGAGCGTATGACTTTAAAAAGCAAGAGGTTTTGCTCAGCATTTGCTGTTGAAGTTAACTGATGAGTTTTCCTTTTGCTAATGCTATAGGATTTTGACTAGCTTAATTTCATGAGAGTAATACTACAACGTTTTAATTAACGGTATGTGAGTAAGGATGGAATGACAAACCTCCCATCGCTTGTTAATTCAAACACAGTCAGTCTGCAATGTGTTGAAGTCTAATGGTGGACTGAGTTTCCGCAATGCCTTAGTGATTCATTCCAGTTTCAAAGCAGAGCAGTGGCCATCCTAACGTTAACTACCAAGACTTCATTGTCTGAATAGTAAAGCAGCTGTTTTTAGAGCCTGCAGGCTGTGGCCAGAGCTTTCCCATTAGCTTAAACCTCTGAAGGATCCAAACCTAAGGTGTCTCTGTGAATCTCAGATGAAAATTAAGTGCTCTACTGAGCCATGTGACGAAGCTCAGCTTCTTCTTTCCTCTTCTGTGAGTAAAGTGAAAGCTTTTTTCTTCCAGGGAAGTGATGGTGATGGTCTTAAGTGTTTAGAAAAGTCTAGCGGAGCTGGTTACTATGGTGAGAATGAGGACACTGGCATAACCAGCAGGAAAACTTTGTGTTTTGGGAGTGAGGTGCCTGCTTTCAAAATTCTTGTTTATTTCTTTGTTCATTTCTTTTAGCCTTTGAGTGGAGAACAGGGTTAATGAAATGGACAAGACCCTCAGGAAGCAGGATACGCAAAATGATTTTGATTTCAAAACACTGCGGTCTTTTTGTGAAATTCAGACCATATACTTATCTGTCATGTGTTCTTGAGCATGAAAATGTATGAGCAACTAAGCATACTGGTCCCCAAGCAATCATTCTGACTTGTAAAGTCCAGCTTTGCAGGAACAGTATCTAATTTTGTATCTGGTAAAATGGAAGAGAGATGAAAGAGGAAGAGCCTTAGTTTTTATTGCAAGATGCTGGTCAGAAGACTCTCCAGGTAGGAAATATATAGGAACTTCTTGTTTGTTCATATATGCCCTTGGAATGTTAAAGGAGATTTTCTTCTGGATGCATAGCAGACTAATGTTCTGGATTAGTCTTTGTGCAGAATTTAGCCTAGAGGGTGATGTATGTGTGTTTCCAAGGCCAATTTTAATACTGACACTTGTCACACTGACGATGTGAAAAGAGATAATTAATTGTTTACTGAATGTTTTGGTCTCTCTCTTAATTTGTAGTATACAAACTTAGATTTACTGAGTGCCTGGAGAGAAGTGGGGAGGAGTACATATTCAGTATGCTTGGTTATTTGTCTTTGTATATTAAGTAGGAAATAACTTATAAAAATCCTATATCTTTTGTTCTTGAAAAATTTTAGCAGCAGTGAATAGTGTGCTTCAAAATATGTTTTTGAAGATGAGGGAATTGAAATAGCCACATAAGACTTTTGGATGTATTAAAGTAGGAGAAAAAATGTAGTTACCTGAGCTGTAAAACTCTGGAGCTAGACTCTCTGCTCTTGCAAACTGGGACATTGGCTGTATGCCATCTCTAAATGTGTCAGTCACAAGCTCACTGTAAGCAGCAGTACTTGCTTATTCTTTGGAGGACTTTTAAAAAAACAGCCAACTGCTGCAAAGCATGTGAGAGCTGGAATGGAAATTACGGGGTTCAGCATAACAAACTGTAGGGCAGAGCCGTCTCTCTCAAATTCCTTCATTTCCTGCCAGTGACACTTAACTAAAGAATTCCAAAGCTAGTTATATTTTGAAACTTCTTTCCCCAACCTGCCTCAGGTGTCAGCCTATCTGAACTGTGCTTGACCATAACTTCAAGGGGCATGTCAGAGAAGACAATAGTCTTGCTGGAGGATTTTTTTCATCCCTGAACTTCTCACACTTTGCTGGCGCTGCAAGAATGGCTGTTTATAAACATTTATAAACAGATTGGAATATCCCTGCAAGGCAATGTGAAGATGTGCCATCAGGAATGATAAAAACAGGAACTTCCATGGCAGTTTTGTGTAATTACTGCTTGCTGGAAAACTGGCTGGGTTCTAACCTTTCAGCTGTTTGGAAGAACTTTTTTTTTTTAATGGCAGTTAAGTTCTGTTGTGTGGAGACCTTGTCTAGGATATCAGATTTCTGTTTGCTTAGGTATGTTTTGCTTTGTTGTGGTGCTTGAGGGAAAGCAGCACTTTTTTTTTTTTTTTCCCCTTTCTGCCCCTCAGCAAAGCCTTGGGCAACTGCCTTCCGAAAAATGTAGTGTCTGGTACACACAGTCCAGCAAAATTTGCATGGGAATGATTTCTTTTATGGGAAAATGGGATCATGGGAGCATGCGTCATGGGAGCATAATCCCGTAAAGAGAATTCATTAGACGTTAATACCTAGGATTTTTGTTGTTCTGTGCATATTTAAGACTTATCATTTATTTTATATAATACACAGCATGAAATGGTTGCTCTGTAGGGCTTTAATTGAAAACCTTTGTTACTAAAACAGAAGTCTCATTTAATTAACCACTAGCTACTCCATCAGCTAAAATTGCTTACGTTTACTGATGATAATACTCTCCTGCGCATATATATATAAAAGAACAAAAAAGGCCCTAATACAATAATTGATTTCTTTTTTCTAATCAGACTGGTTGTTAAAACCATTTTTTGCTGTCAGTCAGACTAGGTTAGATTAAAAAAAAGAAGAGCATGAATTTTGTGTTGTTCTGACAGCCACTGTGCCAAGTATTCCCAACAGAAAAACTGAATGGAGCTTTAAAGAAAGTGATAGCGTCACCATTGCTTTTTAATTATTCTACATAGTTTGACAGAAAGTTAAAACCACTACTGTTCATGGATTTTTCATGGATTTTTTTTTTTTTTTTTTTTGCATAGACACAGAAAAGAAGCAGAATGACGCTATGGTGAAGGCTTAGCAGCAGCATCTGCCATTGTAGGAACTTCTAAATTGTCATGCAGTATTCTCTCTGCTAAAATTATATGCATATTATGTACGATGAGCACTCACTGTAAAACACAGGTAAATGAAAAGGATGGCTTCAAAATTATGTAAGGATAGGAATTTTATACAAGATATATTTAATTTTCATCTTTATGATGACTTGAAAGTATCATTTGGGTAGATATTTTAAAAAGGCAGAGTGATTAATTCCTTAATACTTTAAAAAAAAGGCTTTTTTTTTTAAGCGTACATCAGGTTAAGGTTTAGTCAGTTTTTAAGGTTTGTTATATATTTCAAATTTGCTTTTCAGTTCACTGTTACTAGAAGATGTTGGTAAATGGTAACAAATTCATAGGACCAGATTTGAGCTTACTGCTAATTTCTATTTTCTGCGTGTCCTTAGGAACATGAAACCTTTCAGGAAGGCTTTCAAGAGGAATAGCCGGTAGACTGGTCTAAAGTCAACAAGCGCTTTTGGGACAAAAAGAACAGGGCCTGGAGGACCTGTGGCAGGGAGCAACTGTTTTTAAATACCTATATTAAATCTCCGCAGTGCTTCTCTGCTGGTTGCTGCAAGGTAAGAAATTACCAGACATGTCTATAGCACTCAAGCAAGTCTTTAATAAGGATAAGACCTTCCGTCCAAAGCGCAAGTTTGAACCTGGGACCCAGAGATTTGAGCTTCATAAACGAGCGCAGGCCTCTCTGAACTCAGGTGTGGACTTGAAAGCAGCGGTGCAGTTGCCAAGTGGAGAAGATCAAAATGACTGGGTGGCCGTCCATGTTGTTGACTTCTTCAACAGGATCAACCTCATTTATGGAACTGTCTGTGAGTTCTGCACAGAGAGGACCTGCCCAGTGATGTCTGGAGGCCCTAAGTATGAGTACCGGTGGCAGGATGACATGAAGTACAAGAAGCCCACAGCATTGCCAGCACCTCAGTATATGAACCTTCTCATGGACTGGATCGAGGTGCAAATCAACAATGAGGATATATTTCCTACAAGCGTAGGTAAGCGCAAGGAAGGCCTGAAGTGTAAACTGCCTTTCGTTCTGTATACGAAGCATGCTTCCTTCTTGACCCTTGTTTTCGGGATTGTGGAACTCAAGCCCTTAAAGTACAGAGGGCGAAGAGGAAATTGTCCTACAGGAATAGTGTGAAATGTATGAAACCTTACCCATGCCTGCTAGATATAGTGGGTTTTTTATCCCAAACCTTTGTTCCTGGTAAGATTCTCAGGTTAAACCTTAAAAGTTAGCAGCAATGCATTATTAGCTGTTGAAGCTAATCACATTTGAACAGTTTTGCACTTTACCTGGCTTTTTGTGCAGATACAGAGCAGATGGAAAGCAAAGCTTAATTAGAATGGCACCTTCCCTTCGAAGTGTGTAAAGCTGTGCACAATACAAGAACTGGAGAGTCAGGAATGCAGTGAACTCTGCCCTCCCACCCTCTCTTGACTTCCTACCCAAACTGATGAATGGGGAAGTGAATTATTCTCCAAATTGTCTTTCCAAGATTGTATACAACTAACTTATCACTTGGCTGTGATTTAACCAACATACCCATGTTAGCAGACAGCCCAGAGCAAAGAACAATAAAGGCAGCACAATTTTCCTTTGTATACTAAGATTAGTTTTGCTCAAGGGTGGGCAAGTGGGTGGAAATATCTTTGCTGGGATAGTTCCCTGTGGATAAGGAGGACTTTAGCAGAAAAGTGCATTGTCTTTTGTAGACATTGCCTACATCTTTAGTTGTGGCTGCTATTAATAAAAAGGATGAGATGTTATACCTTAGAGACTTCAGTGTACTTATGTAAACTTGTAACAGTTTTATTTAACAAATCCTGATTACCTTCTTGCAGTGAATGAGCTTTCGCTCAGAGCTTCGTTTAGGAGATGTGAGAATAGTATGTATAAATACTATGGACAGGTAACAGATAAGAAGAATGTTCAATTATTAAAATGAGTTCAGCAGAATATTATGCAGTTTTTATTCATTTAGAGTCTGAGGTTAAATGGTAGCAAATGATATGTAAAAAGGCTGCATGTATCAGTAAGCTATCTTGAACTTTGAAATATCTGCTTCTTGGCCTTGAGAGTTATTCGGCTGGATAAAAATACAGTTTGTTTCCCAGTCCTTGTCCCTTTTCAACACCGATAGGTAAAAAGAACAAGGCACTAACTATACCCCATAACCTAAACTTTGTCAGTCTGTTGCATAGCAGGAATAAGGAGGGTTTCCAAAGAAGTAGCGCGTTATTTTTTGGATAGTGAAGAATGGGTTTGGTTTCTTCAAGTATGTGTTGTTGGTTTTTATTTCTTGTGAATAAATGATTTTATTTAGGAATTTAGGTTGGATTGGGAGTGCTGTGAAGTGTGGGTAGTATGTTGGTGTTAGTGCTTCCACTGGTGTTTTTTTTAGGCTTTGGTTATACCACGTTTCTGTCTTGCAGCATTCCACTATTTTGCTGTGCTATTGCAGTTTGTACATGCAGAAAATGTTTGTGACCTGTCTGCAGGCATGAGGAGCAGGAAACAAACACACTGACATGCTCATAGGCTTTTCTGAACAAGCAAATAATCTATGACACACAAGCTTGCACCTCTAATAGCTCCCCTCACTGATGTTTTTAGGAAGATATGTCTGGAGGAACTTTTATGCAGAAGGCACATATCTGTTGTAAACTGTTAGTCTAATGCGAGACTCCTTGTTATCATCTATGTCTGTTTTATTGTTAAGTGTCCAAAGATTCTTCCTACTAAGTAATGGTTGCAGCCTGTCTGGGGCACATTTCTCTGTGCTAAAAGAAAAATCCATCACTTTCTGCACATTTCAGGACAATATTCAACCTAGGAATGAAACCAGTAAATACCCTCTACCATTTTTCTCCTCCCAGCAGCTCCTACTGTTATATATTGTATCAAATCCATAGAAAATGAGTAAGAGAAAAAACCTGTGGTCTCCAGAATGGAGCTGAACTGATATAAGTCAGAACATGAATGCTTGGTATCTGTGAAATCCCTCTAAACTGAGCCAAAGGGAGAGGGGAAGGTCTGCTTGAGCCTGTTTGGGTGCCATGGTTGTATAGTAGACCAAGATGAATGACAGTCCCATGAAGAGATTTTATAGATTACCTTTGAAGCATTACTGCATCAGGCAGCATTTTCTTCTATCCACCCCTCTCCGCCTGTATTTAGTGTCTGTTGCAGATACTTTAGTGACCACCTGTACCTTCCTCATTATCTTTTTGATTAACTGATTCAGTAAAATTGCTTGGGTGTCCCTAGATCTTGTGGTTCAAAAATAGAAGCCCACTGACCTGAATTTGGAGTTCTCAGGACCTTTTCTCTCATCAAGTCCCGAATTAGTCACCCAAAACTAGTCAAAGGGACGTCTGGTCAGAATGTGTCCAACAGAGGCAATGTTTCTGTAGCCTCTGTAGCTAGGAACAGTTGTCAGGCACTCTAGGTTCTGTTCCTGGCTAAATCAGTTGTCCTTCAAGGGAATCACTCTAGTTCCTTTACACGTCAGTCTCCTATTTGTAAAAACGGAGATGGTAATACCAGCCTGCATGAGTACAGCTTGTAAAGCTTTTGAAAGAAATACACTAGTTCAGTATGTGTATTGTTAAATGTTTTGCTTTTCACAATTGATCAGAGAGAGAGAAGCTTTGTTATTGTGCTGGGTACTGTTTGTTACTGCCTGTTGTGCAGCAGCCTTTGATTAGGAAGTGTACCATGGGCTCTCTGTTACCTTTAGCGTCAAAGCAAACCTCTCTTTATGCTCGTTCTGAGAAATTAATGATGGTGAAAGTTTTGGTTGCTCGTTCTTCAAAGTTATTGAAATAGACCTTGGAAGATGATATACTTGGATGTCAAAATTAAACAGGATTAGATATGCCCTTGTTACTAGTACAGTGGTTTTAAAGCACAGTGTAACTTCACCTTATGTTATGCTGTCCCTATGATTGTAAACGTGAAAAGAGTTTTTGCAAAAAGTTCTGCAAAAGAACTCCTCAGCCAAGTATCTGGCTATTAAAGAGATTCGTTAATTGCTTTGGATCTTTGTAGCATGTGATTGTCAGTGTACGCCTCTGGAAAAAGTGTGTATTTGGTATGGGATTTTGCCTAACCTTTCTATGACCAAATGAGTGTTAAGAAAACTAGAGCAGGATTTCTAGGAGCTGACTACAGAAACTTGCACATATTCTTCTCAGCTTAATCCTGTTAAACTTGTTCTCTTTCATTTGACATACCTCATGCAAACTAGATTTCTAGAAAAAATGACTTTCTAGAATTGTGATTAAGGACTGCTTTCACTGAGGAGCTACTTTAAAGGAAAATAATTTCAGGATAGAGAGAGCCAGGCTTAGTGGTTTGGACTTCTTTTTTTTTTTCCCCTCCTTCTGTGTTTTAAAAAGAAATGAATGCAGTTCAGTTATAAATTGTTACCAATATTATTCATAACAGAAATGCCTCTCAGTATTTATATGTGCACTATAACCTCTGATCACTTACCAGTCTATGTGATTCCCGTGGTCTGGAGCTATCTCATCTCTTCTTTCTCCAGTTATTCTAGTCCGTTCATTTGCTGATTGCCTTTTCATCCAGCCTTAATACTAAGTGGGCTGACAGGGGGGAGAGGAGCTGGTATGGGAACTGAAGAGCTGATAACAGTCATGAGTAGCTGACAAAAACAAGTGCTGAGTATTAGCAGCACTTCTCTTTAGATAAAGTAGAGCTTTAAGGACTCTCTTGGAAGATGGCCTCACAGCCTGTAGAGAGTTTTACCGATTATTTCCTGATTTCCTTTCCATTATTCTCAATTTCTTTGCTCCGTTTTTAAGTGGCTTTAAAGCATGTAACGAGCTGACAGCTCTCAAGACTGAAGTTCTATATATAATCCTGACCTGTGTCTCAGCCCTCACTGAATGGGAATGTAAGAACAGGATGGAGGAGTATGCTTACTGGTATGTCGACTCAAGCCACACCAGTGAAGCTATCAGTATTAGTCCCCAGCATGAATTTTGGTAGTGTATTGGTAGTTTATTTAGTTTGGTGGTAAATTCTTCTTCTTCAGTACCTACTAACTGCTCTTCCAGGTACCTAACAGGTATTCAGACATCTTTGAAGCGGTATATTCCCCAGGCTTATATGGACAATTTAAATACTCTGCAGGCTCAACAGTACTTTTTTTTCCTACTCTTTTATTTCTGTACTCTTTGGTAAAAAGCCTGAAGGAATCTCTTGAAGCAGGAAGCGGTAGATCCTTGAGACAGCTGCTGGTTTTGGTGAAATGTAATTGGCAGCTTAAACTATGTCTTCTTGGGCAGTGCCAAAGGAGGATCTGGGCAATCTACTGCTGTGCTCTCTTCAGGCCTTGATTCCTAAACAAGACAAATTCACTTCCCTCATGTGTTGTTGTTTGGGTTTTTTTGAGGGGGAGGTTGCTGTTATTTTGTTTTCCCTCCCTGGTACAGCCTTAAATTGAGAGTAATTCTGTCTTGTTTAGATTTTGAGGGAAGGAAATAGTTTTTTTTTTTTTTTCTTCCCTCTTAAGAATCGCTGGAAAAAATATCTAGATAGTTAAGGCCACAGGGGATTATTATCTTTCATCTATTCTAGTCTGACCTCATGCCTAACACAGGTCAGAGTGTTTCGCCACATGATTTTTTAGTTAGGTCTGTAGCTTGAAGCAAGAAAATAGTACAGAAGACAGAGTGTTCTCCTGAAATAGACAAGAACATGAACTTCTTTTCTGACTTGACATAAAGGAAAACTCTGTCTCCATGAGGTCAGTCAGGCAGTGAAGCTGAGGCTCAGAAAGGTTGTGCCATCTCCATCCTTGGAGATTGTCAAGACCCGGCTGCATAAATCCCTGGACAACCTGGTCTGATCTCTCTTGACTACTTCAAGCAGGAGATTGGACTAAAGACCTTTTAAGGTCCCTGTGAGCTTGAATTGTCCTGTGGTTCTTAGTTCTAATTTCACCACTGACAGGCTGCTTAA